CTAATTCACTACATTTTAGTGGTGTCATCAGATCGGCATTTATCGATTTAAAGACAGAAGTACACCAGCTGAAAAAGAAGATGAAGAAAATGGAAGAAACACTGGCAGCTGTTGTTACAACACCATCTGCAACACACCCTGTCGTGCCATCTCCCAATCAGACAACAGTATCATCTGTCCCAGGCGCTTCATTTTGTGGTGCTTCAAAGTCACAAAATAGCTCAGAGGATGACCTGTACGCAGGATTTACGGAAGCCCAGTTACATGATGCCATAAGCCTGACCGAAAATCTATACTTGGCTGTAGCCACTTTAATGAAAAAACTGTTTCCACCAGAGTACATTCTTACCCACAGTGTTTCTGGCAAGCCTTGTAACTCTACAACGCCAAGCAAACCAAAATTCGATCATCGTCTTTTTTTCAATTATGTTGAAAGTGTTGAAGACAAAGTACATATCAACATCTAACAAAGAAATCACAGAAAAGATTCATTCTGTCCAAAAGTCTGTGAAAAAAAAACAATGCAAAGTAGAAACATTTCCGTAAAAACATAGCTGGTGTATTAGAATAGAAAGACAATGGACTGGTTTGTTGAAATTTGTAGAAAAACAATGGACTGGTTGTAGAAATTTGTTTCCATATATAAGATATATATGTATATAAGTTGTATGTAACATGGACACGAAACCATAGATATTTGTAAAAACTTTTTAAAATTTCTGTTTCACCTACAACATCTCTGTATCATTGATGAAGTTCAAAGCTAAGCTTCGGGTTTTTTGTGGTAAGGGCCTATGGCTAGAATTTTGAATATCTTAAAAAAAATTTAAAAAAAAACGATATTTTAAACTGTATTTAATTTTTATTCGTTGTAACTTCTCAAGTCATTCAAAGCTCAGTATACAAAAGGAGCAAATATCAATTTATATACAGATGAGATAGTCCAGTGAAAAATAAATATATAGCCCATTTATAGTTTCGTTTGTATGCAAATATATATCGCATCCAAGTTACGTTTTGAAGATTTTTGTATTTGTCATCGATACGCTATGGCATGATTCATGCATATCTCCAAGTTTCGTGTAATACTCATGTACATTTGTATTTCCAAACTTTTTGTTTTTTGATAAATATTCATCAGTATAACAGCACATAATCATATAAAATGTACGTAACACTGACGTGATCCATATACAAGTCCAAGTTACGTGCAAAAAACCAGAATCTTCCAATTCAGCAGGGTACCGAATATCACTTTAGATTGATTCCATTTGGCAATCAACAGTTTTCTATAAACAGTTACTTTGATTTGAGAAGTTGAAAATACAATGGGAAAGATTACAAAATCAATGTGTACGTAACCATTGTTGATGGGATGTGTGTCAGCATTACCTTATCTTTCCCTTCCTCTGTGGTAGTCGTCCCCATTTTCTGCAAATTGCCGTATGTTGCCGTAAGTGAGGCGGGATGCCAGACGTGAGAAAGCGTTCATGTGTCGCAATCTTTCATCAAGTGTAACTACTATATACTGCATTAAAAGTTAAGTGTATGTTTAATCTTTAAAATTGCGTTCATGTTGTCACATTTTGATAAATAACAACATCGCCTGTAAACCCAATGCTCAATGGATTGTGAAGTCGTAAATGACGACTTAGACAATGCACCAGAGAATATCATAGACGATGAATGTATGTAACGGACATGGACGCGAAAAGGTTACATGCATTATACAAAACTTCAATCTGTTTTTCTCATTACCTGCAAAGGAGACATATGGGGACAGGGTTTTTTTCTTCTAAAATTGAGATATTTTCTCAGGGATAAAATATAAAAATTCTTCAAAACTTCACAATAAATTCATTTAAATTAAGAGTACAACCTAGTGTTTTTGAAATGTCATGTTTTAACCTCCATTTTTAAGGCATATCGACATCTTACATTGGTCATTTTGACATCTCAATACCTGTATAGATATGAGATTTTATGTTTTTACTTCAGAAATGAAAAACAAACACAAACATCTTCTTATCAATTTAGTATGCAGTAATATGATTTATTACACAATTAAGCAGATGGACGCAAAAAAATCAGTTGTGAATTCTTGCCCATATATCCACAACCTGTTTTTGTCACATTTCTTAGTCAATTATAAGATTTCAAGAGAGCATTGAAGTTATCAAAAATGTTGCATGAAATAATATTTGCCATTTAACAAATCAATTGCTAATTTGTTGACTTTTTTTCCAGGGTATTTTTTCCAAATGAAATTACTTATCTCTGGTCATTAATATCTGAATATTAATTTGGTTTCTTCTGTATTAGATTTACTGTATTTGCCTAGAATTACACATGCATTGATGAATGCATTGATTATAATCCAATTTGATCAAGCATAGATCATAATCGCTTAAAATTATATTTTATAGTGGCCAAATCTGGTTTGTTGTCACATTTTTCCCGGCCATCACACCATGATAGACATTTTCTATTGGTGTAATATTGTTTTCTGACCATGGTTAGCCATGGTTTATGACCATGGTCAAGTGCTGATTTATTATAGCAGACCTTGGTTGGCCATGGTTTGTGACTTTGGATGAACATGGTCAAATCCTGACCATGGTTTGTTACTGTGGATGACCATGGTCAAATACTGACCATGGTTTGTTACTGTGGGACAACCAAGGATGACCATGGTCAAATACTCAGACCATGGTTTTTGACCGTGGATGACCATGGTCAAATCCTGACCGTGATGCCATTTACCACGGCCATGGTCAATCATGGTTGACCATGGCCTGCAGACCATGGTCTGCAATGGTTTACCATGGTCAAGAGGTCATCAATTCACCTGGGCACTCTACTCGACAGTTGTAGCCTGATAGACTTAACGCCCAAAGTTGGATCTTCCTATTTTGCATTGGAGAGTCTAATATGTACTTTAAGGGTTTATGGTCCGTTCGAATAACAAATTCTGCGTTGTGTAAATAATGGTCTCATTTTTGCAAGGCGTAATGAATGGCATAGGCCTCCTTTTCTATAGTGGACCATCTAGTCTGTGTATCGCTCAGTTTGTGAGACAGAAAGTAAATTGGCCTTTCATTCTTAATGTTTGGCAAGAAGGCCTTTTCCCCTATTGCCGACTGTGTGAGACACGCGCCGATGCATCTGTCACTAGCATATGTGTAATGAATGTATAGTTGATTGATATCAGGATAAGCAAGATAAGGTATTGCCGTGAGACTATCCTTTAAATATATAAAAGCTTTTTCACATTCCTGAGTCCACTTAAATTTCGCGTATTTCCTTGTTAAAGCTATCAGTGGCTCCGCGATGTATGAAAAGTTAGGGATAAATCTGCGGTAGTAGCTAGTGCACCCAATAAATCCTCGTACTTCCCGTACGTTTGTTGGTGCAGCCATTGCTCTTATAGCCTCAACCTTTTGCATATCCGCCATAACACCACCTTTGTTGATAGTAAATCCTAAATATTTCGTTTCGGTCTGGGCAAAAAACATTTCTTCAGCTTAAGTCGCAAGTCATGCTGACGGAGTCTATTAAAGACACTCCTAATATTTTCCAGATGTTCCTCTATTGTGGGGGGAAATATTAGTATGTCGTCCAAATACGCTATGGCCATATGGTCTAACCCTCGAAGAACTATTGACATAAGTTCGGAGAACACCGCGGGTGCATTACTCAGTCCGAATGGCATAACGTTAAATTCAAACAAGCCTTTATGGCAAACGAATGCAGTTTTCTCTCGGTCTTTTTCGTCCATTATTACTTGCCAATAGACCGATTTTAAGTCTAGAGTGGTAAAGTAATGTGCCTTACCTAGCAGGGCCAAAATATCGTCTATAAGCGGTAATGCATAAGAAAAGGGTTTGGTTATTTTATTAAGCTGCCTAAAGTCGACGCAAAACCGTTTTGTACCGTCCTTTTTGTCTACGATAACTATGGAAAATGACCATGGCGACTTCGACCTCCTAATAATGTTTGCCTCTAACATATCCTCTACGGCTTTGTCAACTACCTCCCGTTTACACAGGGGGGTCCTGTAAGGTTTTAGTTTGATGGGCCCCTTACTTCCCGTGTCTATTTTCATGGTCACTGTGTCTGTATGGCTCAAGTCTCTGTCATTGTCTACAAAAAGGTCCCTATTTGTGTGAATCAACTCTGTGACTACGCCCCTATGCTCTCGTGTTACTTTAATTTCCCCTAAGTTGTCCTTAGTTACGGTAGCCGCCACAGATTTTGTCGACCGAGTATGAGTCTCAACGAGATTAGCTTGACCTAGGGATTCAGTCCTGCCAATTACACAACCGCGTTTTAGTTTATAATATTTGTTGGTATTATTAACAATCATAATGGCCAAGTGTCCACGGCTCGACACTTTTGTCACGGCATTACCGACCATGAGGCCAGGTTTGGTGCTGATGTAACCTGAATCCACAGGTTTTACCTGCAGTAGCTCTGCAGTTCTACGGTTTGCTGGTCCTACCCTACCAAGACATAAGGTAGCTGTTTGTGGTTTCAGACCAACATTTTGCCTTAGGCGCACAAGTGATGCAATATGGATATCTTCCTCTAGTGGGATGTATTGATTCCGGAATCGTAAGGAACCTAGATCAAAATACAACCTCACGCCATTGTCTGTCAACCAGTCTCTGCCCAAGATAAAATTTCGATTCATGTCTGTGACCACATGAAATAACTGGGTTACCGTGGTATCTCCTAATTTAAATTTTATATCAACACAACCTTCTACCGGCAATGTGTCCCCATTTACCGATTGTAGCTGAATTTTTGGCTTCCTAATGACAGGGAATGGCTGTAAATGCCCCAAAACGCGCTATGTACTAGCGAGACCTCTGCCCCCGAGTCAACTAAAGACCTATATCGCTGTTTCCCAATTTTTATTACACATGAACTCGGACTCCCTGCCAAATGTATCTTGCAAACTTTACTCTCCCCAGCGGTTTCATTCAAGGGAGAGCTACCTAGGTTTTTCTTTGTCTATATTGAGGGCACTCTCGTTGAAAATGGCCCCGATTCCCACAAGCCCAACAGAGCTGCTGATATTGGCCCGGACCAGCCCCAGTTTGACGTGTTTTCGACCTACATTCCTTAGCAATGTGCCCCGTCCTGCCGCAGTTGTGGCATTTACGGGTAGCTCTGCTATGTCCTACATCCATTGGCACTGCCGTAGGGCTAGTGTCCATGGGTTCCACATGCCTACCCTTGGTTACGGTATTAGTACGGAGCTGGAATCGCCGTCGCAAATTTTGTTCGGCCATAGCTACGTTCACCGCTTCCCGTAATGTTGGCGGATTTTCTTGCATTACCTTCATCTTTAAGCTATCATTAAGTAGCCCACCTACAAAGAATCCGACCAGTTGCTGCTCTACGGCTGGATTGCCCCTTTGCATGTTAGCATAGGCCTCATCGGCCAAAGCCAACAGTTTTTCAGCAAAAATCTGGACGCTGTCGTCCGATTTCTGCTTGGCTTTCCGCAGCAGAACAAAAGCATGCTGTGGATCGGTTATCTCCGAAAATCGGGAGGCAAGCTCCGCCTTAAGCTCTGCCCAAGTTCCCTGGGGGTTTTCTTCAACGTAACGTTTCACAAAATCTCCCACTGGGCCCTTACTAGCTTGATACGCTACTAATTTTATTCTATCAGCAGCTATCCCGGTTAACGAAGCATATTTTTCTATCGATCCTACCCACTCTTTAAATTTCTTCGGGTCCCCCTCATAGCTGTCTACTGCGCCTGCAATCCCCTGGGTATTGATGGCCGACGTGAGTCCAGTTAATTGGGCTGTCAAGTTTTCTATTAAAACACCAACATTTTCTGCCATAATTAATTTACTAAATTTGTTAGAATAGGTCTATCCCAATTAATCACTCACCTTTATAGAGAATCTGTCCTGTTATATATCCCTTTCAAGATGTTGGTAAAGTTAATAAATCCATGGACACATTATTTTGTTTCCTATGACCTCTTTTTCTTGTGTTCTCCCAGGTTCGAAATCCTGCTGGTCACGGCACCAAAAATATCCACGTGTGTTACACAATAATTACTCCGACACGTGGTATTTGAGTTAAATTTTATCTCTTGCCGTGGTTACACAAGATCCTGTTCAAGTCCACACCCATCTCCCGCTTAAGTTCCTACTTCCCTCTACAGGCCCGCACTGCCTTGTCTAGCTCCCGAGCTCTAGTCTCCAACCACTCTCCTGCTCTTCTCCCGCTACTCTCTTTCTACTGTCTTTTGTCTTAGTATTAATAATACCAAAACACTTCAATTCTAACTAAGCCCCGATTGGATGACAATACCCCACCCCGCGAGGCATATAATTATCAAGGCACGTGCAAGCTCATGTAACCTTATCTCAGGGATCCCGATGTACTTTACCGTCCAGTATGCTATCTACTCTGATCGACGATCCCTCCCCAGCTATCTCGCTACAGTGGCTAGGTGCGTGAGGCACACCCTTGATATCTAAGGGCTACCAAACTGCCTGTCCATCACAGGACGTTAACCCTGGTCCAGTGCCTGACTTTTGACACCTGTTGTTATTGTTTCCAGAGAACCTGTTGTACTTTAAATTTCTGTTTTAAATTATATTCTCTAAATTGTATTTCTACTACCCATTTTGTTACATACCATCTCAGTTTCAGCTCGAAGTTTTCAAATGTGTTTTTCAAGATGGTATTTCATTTATTCTACTATACCAAATAGTATCATCTGAAGATCAGGGCATATCTGTTTGTGTATTTATCCACTGGGTTAAGTGTTGCCAAATTTTCGTTTTTTCTTGGCAATTCCAGAAAATGTTTTACAATTTTCATCTTGTTATTGCATAAATTACATTTAAAGGTATATGAGTTTATTGGTATAATTCTATTCATCATTATATATGATACTGGAACCACCGTATCGTGGTATCTTTTTGATATTTGAAATAAAATTTTATAGATGTCTACTAACTTACTAAGGTTTCCAATTGGTTACCCAAGTCTTCATATGTTTCTCATTTGACGTCTTCAGTTGCATGTGCTTTCACTACTACTTTTCCTATTGTAGGCAACTAAACTGTTGTATGTATACACAGTGTAGGCGATGGTATTTTTTTTTTGGTTATTTTCGGACTCCCAGGTACCTGTGCTTTATTTGTTCGCGCGGTTACATTTTAGGAGGTGGGGGCCGGGTCGGACGGTCTTGTATGTGGTAAAATACGCTTGTAAACAACTTAAACATAAAATCCGACCTGCATTGTTACTGACCGAAAGTGTGAGCCATAAAAAAGAAACTAGGCCGATGTTTAGTGTAAAAGTTACTTACGGTTTTATCTTCCATTGTCCGTTCCACACAACTAATCGCTATACACGTTCGTTCTTTTTGTTCCTGGCTGAGCACCTCCGAAATTTGTTGACATTTTTTAAAATCCAACTTTTTGGAACACACCGATACACTTGCATGTTTTCCTACCAGTATGTCCAGGCCAGTAGATGACGGACTCAACTTTGCATTAGTTATGCGGACCGGTTCTTCTAAATTCGACATGTGTTCGAATTTTCCATGTCTTTCTGGTACGAAAACCACCACTTTCTTCTTGTCGTCTTTTGACGTTTGAATGTTTGCTGAAAAATATTTTGATTTTCCATCGTTGGAGGTTTTCACCGGAGACACAGATGACAAGTAGCCAATGATTTCATCCCCATACCGACTGTCAGCGTCGTCTGATTAAAATTTTTTTCGGCCGCGCCATTTTCCCCATTCACAACTTACGGTCGGCCTGCAATGATGCGTATGGCTTTTCCTACGTTTTGGCGAGTCCTTTAACAATTCCACAGTGCATTTCTAGTCTAAATCAACTTAACGCTTCAATTATTTAGACTGGTTCCCTCCCTTAGTTCTCTACTCTCCACCAGGGACGCGCTCCGGTAGCAGGTAACCATGTTCAAATTTCCATTGGTCAGGTTTGATATCCGGTGACGCACGATTTGCTAAATTTAAACTGGGAATTACCCCATCGCAATCAGCTGCAACTAGCCTACACACTGCTTCATTGAACCACGTATTTTCAACGGAAATGGTAGTCACATCAAAATAATGCACTAGGGTAGGAATTTCTATTCTGGTAGCAGTAAAAATAAATGGACATGTTTAACAGTACAGGTATAAGATTAGTAGATTGGTTATGAAAAATACACCCATGTAAGTTACTGTACATAGATATATTTATAAACTACATACTGTAGAGTGATGGTACCTGATTTTGTACACTTTTGACACGTATTTAAATCGCGTTTTTTAAAAGATCGGATTTATCTGCGCTATTTCTGGTAATGTGATGTATCGTCATATGCACAATGGATATTTCCTTTAATCATCAGTTACATCCGGGTTTAGCGAGGGACGTGATTTCGTACACTCTATAAAGTTGCCTTTCTAAGTAAATATGGCGAATGTAAATATATTTGGGATGAATTCAATATATTTCATTCAGGTTTGCCGATTTTCAGAGGCCAGACATGCGTTTGGAACAAATTATGTGTTTTTAGAATAAAATCCATACCACAGGTTTTTTTTTTTTTTGTCTCTGGTGTCTACTTTCACTTTAGGGGGAGTCCTAGCTGACGAAGTACTCCATTATAACAGTAGTATAATAGTGTTTCATATGATTGTCTTTATAAACAATTCAAACGCCCCATGCGTTTTTTTAAGGTCAGAACAAGCAAATATTTTAGATAAAATTCGAAATAATAACTGCTTCCTATGTACACGGTCATTGAGTGAGCGTGTTCTTTAAATAGCACCGTTATTTATTATATCTTAGCTTCTTTTCTTTATTTTCTTTTTGTAAATGGTACAATAGTATTTACTTTAAATGATTTCAAATTGATTACGAAAATATTAGGATTAGATTATGATTATTAGTTCTGCAGACGATAGCCTGACGTTTTGAAAACGAGGCTACATGGAAATTCTATATTTAGCATCACCGAAGAATGACAATGGCGTTGGTTTGCTGTGGGAGCGATTTTATGCCTGCATCGAGAGCGACCGAATAAAAAAGAAGAAAAATGAAATCACATCCTGTACATAATCATGTACTTTTATTCTAACAATTACAATTGTAATAGATAAATAACAAGAGATCTCAGAGGGATCTTGGCGCCCACCGTTAAATGATCAATATAGGATCTTTTGTAGAATACTTTTCCCCTCTTTTCTCTATTTTTCCTATCTTTCAAATTATAAGATTTTGACAGTAAAATTCAAAAATGGCTACCTGTCATCCTTTTTTTCCTGGATCTTTTTGACATGGTTTAACACACACCTAAGGAACCTATAGGGAACAGGAAATCTGAGTAAGGTCAGTCTGGCAACCATATTGCTTTTGGGACTCGCCAAAGAATGATACAATGCACTACTAGGGACCAAGGGGAACCACCTACATATGAAATCTGAGAAAGATCTATTCAGTACTTTCTGAGAAATAGCGATAAACTATTACTGTCAAAATCCAAGATGGCCACCTGACGGCTATATTGTTTTTGGAATCCACTGAAAAAAGGTACAATTCACAACTAGGGCCTATGGGGAAACAAATATGAAATTTCAGAAAGATCCATCCAGTAGTTTCTGAGAAATAGCAATAACAAACTTTAAATATCAAAATCCAAGATGGCCGTCTGTCGGCCATGTTGTTGTCAGATCAGTTTCAAAACATGATATGCATAACTAAGGTTCATGGGGAACCTGCATATAAAATTTCAGAAAGATCCCTCCAGAAGTTTGTGACAAATAGCGATAACAAGAATTGTTTACCCACCATCTGATGATGGTGGGCTAAAAAGTTCTGACGTTTTCAATATATTGCCCTTATGAAGTCATAAAGGGCCATAACTCTAGTAAATTTGGTCAAATCAAACTGCTTTTCAGGAAAACACAACTTCATGTCATGATGATTAAGCCTACAAAGTTTGAAAGAACATCTGTTGAAAACTAGTAGATCTCAACTCCGAACAAACAAAAGTTTACGACGGTCGGACGGACAACGCCATACCAATTTTTTGACGGGCGTATAAAAAGCAAGCACCACAGGTCTGATTTAAATATAATTAAAGACAAAAAGTTATTTCCAGCTGCATACAACAAACAAGACATATTTTTTGTTGTATACTGTAATACAAATAGAATGATAAATAAGTTCTGAAGAGCAATTGAATAATTAAAACATTTCCCAAAGGTTGGCTTCAACAAAATATGTACCGTGGTACCATTGAAAACAACAGCACTGCAAGTAGGAGTATGAATAGATACACCAGTAACATCCAACCAGATATAAAGCAATATAGAAATTGGTTGTAAATATAACCAGTAAAATATAATTCTGTAATACAAACTTGTTGGATCTAAATTTCATCAAAATTGATGTAAATGAAAGTAAAACAGCGCATTCGTCTTAAATGCCCATATTGTATGGCCATAAACGCTGCTAAAAATAATTGCAAAATAATGAACCCACAAATTTGTTCAAGCTATTGTGGCATGAATTACATTAAGTTCATTAAAATGATAAATCTGTCTACAAATCAGGCATGAATTACATATAACTAAGTTCATTAAAATCTGTCTACAAATCAAGATTTAAAAAGGCTAACAAGGAAAAGTTAATGGATCAATGGACAGTTCAATAGGCGTATGTAACAATATCTTGATCAGTAGACACTCTAAATTGAAAGAAAAAATTTGGTTTCTGTACAGAGTACTAGTGGTATCATCCTAAATGGATAAATCCTAAATCATTATACATGTAGACTGATAGAAACAAAGATTATAACATTT